CGAGTCTAGATGGAGGGGGAAGCGTCTATTCCTAGTCTAAATGAACCTTCAAGGAGAGTGAAGTGAAGTCCCTCTTCGAAAGGAAAGAGGGACGAGCTGAACGACTGTTGTTGAATCAACTATGAAATATGCTCTTGCTCACGAATTTGTTGTTCTAGCTCAGACCAGGCTATTTACGAGAAAATAAAGGTCCTGAACGGGAGAAAAATGAGGCAGGCTGTCCTTTGATTTTTTTCATGCCTCAACTTCACTCGGTTCGTTCGAAAATCATGGAAGTTTTTTCATGGAGATTATTGGGAACGGTAATGTGCCTTGGGTTAAGAACAATGAATAAAACTTTCCGGATTCCCCTGCCTTTCTTCCATAGTCTACACTTGTCCGTCCAAATGGTCGACCTTGCCATCAAGTTGGGTCAGTCGATCCTTGAGTGTTTCCATTAGCAAGCAACCTTGGCCTCTTGGCAGGAGGTTCGCTTTAAGAGATAGGGGCGGAGTCAATCGGAAAGGCTTTTTAGGAACGAGGATCAGAGGTGTCCTCTAATCACCACGACGAGGCTGGTCCATCTTTTAGTAGACTCAACTATGAATATTCATGAAGAAATGAATGTCAGGCTCTTTCTTTTACGGTTAATCCCAAGAAGTTTCAACATGCTGAAACTTTCCATTTCGTCAAGCCCCGAGTTTGAGTATGGGTTCTCGTCATAGGAGAAAGGATGCGCGCTAAAGCTAGAGCAGCTCTTTTTCGCGATATAGGTGTAATTTAATTAATTCAGTACTTAAGGTCTTCCCTCGTCAAATGAATAAAAAAATCAGGTTGACATGGTAAACTGATAAAAGATTATATACACGGCACATATCTTTTATTAATTGATTAAACATTGGGTGCAAGAAATTAAATTTTTTTCTTGGTAGAGTTTTGTGAAAAGAAATATTTCTAATAAATGTACCGTAGACCCAGACCAGTCAAAGTTCAATTTAAAAAGCAAAATATTTTTTTTAATCAAGTAAAGTATAATTTCATTAATAATAGAAAAAACTCTCGTATACAAGAGGTATACTAAAAAGTAGAGAATTTACAAGAAATTATGTTTCTCTACGAAAGAAACCTAATCTTTTATACAAATAGGAATATTATGGCAGAGGCGGATCTAAGATTTTTATAATATGAGTGCACCATCAAAAAAAGGAGAAAAAAGAAAACATTAAATGGAATTGATCCCTATTCCTCTACGTAGATAAATCAGCATTCAACCAAGAGCACCATTTAGCCTCTTTGGAGAATGAGTACCAACAGATAATATTAGATCAATTTTAGAAAATATGTCCATAAAGTACCTAGTTTGGCAGAGATCATAAGTTCACATGTCCTATATATTGGACTATAAAGCCTCCCCTGCTTATAGGAACACCAAAAAAAAAAGTTGGAAATGGGAGGTTATTCTTAAACCTCCATACTACCTTTTTCAATAGAGCTATGGACTAATAAGATTAATTTTGAGAAAAAAAGGATCATACAATTAATCAATCCTGGAGCTAAATTGCTTTTGTACGTATGGAGCACATTAAGAGCTACCTGGAGAACTTGAACTTTTGGGAATAGAGCCATCCGAAATGAGGCCCCAACGGCCGAGTGTGAGATAGTTGTTGGACTGTTACATAGAAATGGTTAAGATTAGAATCAACTTATAGCCCTAATAGAAAGCTATATTGCTCATACTCTCCAAATATGTTGCAGGGTGTGTATCGTTTCCTCCAAAAATAGTGAGTATTTGAAGGATCCAACAAGGTATGATAACATTTTTGGAGAGTCGGAGCAACATAGATGAAAAGTAATGCGATCTCATATATAAAACAATTACATTTTCGTTGCATACAATAGAGAACCACTCCATGCCATCAGGATCGGCAATTTTGCACACACTTAATAATCTTGGAACAACAAATAATTCACCAGCTTCAATCTGTCTGTCTGTAACAAAACCACCAAAATCACGCACCTTCACTGTGCCGCTGCCTTTTATAATATAAGTGACGCGAATTGCTGGATCAACAGAAATTTCAGGATAGTACGCAGCATTTCCATTCAACGTTGCACGACTAGCACCAAGTCCAATGTCGCCGATGATTGCCAAGTTTTCGGTATTCAAATCCAATATCTCTCCACCACCATCAGTGTCAAAACGGGACGGGGCTGTTTCCTCACAGTTGAGTAACATGCCATCTCTGTAGTCCTACCAGTGGCGAAACCAGAAATCAAGAAAATGAGAAAAAGTTTTAACTAGACGCTTCCCTTATATTACATGATATAATTTTTGGACGAAATGGATTCAATTGAACCTCTTCGTTACCTTTAGCTCCGCCTCTGAGATTTCAAAGCCTGGATTAAGCTTGACGATACTCCTGGCAAGATGTGGACCAATGAGAGTCTTGAGAACACTTTTGTCCGATTTCCATGCTCTGCCAATAAACTCAGGGGAAAAACAAGAGAGATTATTGCTGTTCGACCCCTTCAACAAGAAGTCAGTGAATGAACCAAGTTTAACTGCAGTTTTGGTATCACCAAGAAAGAGTATCTCAAGTTCTGTAACATCTTTATTGTACCACCATGTGACAACTCCAACAGGAAGCGCAATCGCATCACCCTTTCGAATGGCTACTAACTTCTCTTCTTGTCCAGGAAGTACAACACCAAGAATACCGCTACCTGAATACACACTAAACAATTAGAGAGGAAATCCCACGAGTAGTAACGGATCTGCACACAGTCACAGTTTATTCAGTTTTTGCAAAGGTTAAAACACAAAATATATGAAAGGAATGCATCATTGTGCAAAAGTTAGAACACAAAACATATGAATAGCAAATCCATCATTAAGTGGTGGAGAGACAAAAAATAGTAGCTATAAAATCAGGAGCTTAAATGTGGATCCTGAACCAAAAACAGTAGCATTAAAGTTGTGACCAACTACTTGTGTCAAAACCAAAGACTTGAAACAGCAAAAGAGCAAATTCTGCATTGCTAATACAGATATTCTTGTTCAACATTCTATCCACATAAAATAATGGAGAGCTAGATTCCCTCATCACATAATGCTGAGTATTATTTGACACCGCCAACCAAATTATTTTTTCTTATACTGCCAACCAACTAAACAATGTATTATCTTATGTAGTAATTTTATGTTGATTAACCAAATGATCCCTCAAATCAAAACTGAACCAAGAAAGGGAGGACAAACATATGTTGCTCGGGCTCTCCAAAAATTTCTTTGGGTGCATGTCAAATCTTTCAAAACTAGTGCATTTTTTGGAAGGACCTGACACGGGTTCGGCATCAGAGTCCGCGCAACATTGGGACAAACAGTGGTTGGCCTACATGGATTGTGTTTTATCCAAACACACTATACTTTTATACAGGAAACTACTAATACGAATATATTGACCAAGTATTCAATTAATTAAAGGCGGTTAAGCACCCATGACTTAAAAATTCCGGATCCATATATAGGTTTTTACCTTGAAGAACATAAGCAACCTTAGCAGAATCAGAGTAGCAAGGCAAAGCAAAGCCATTGGTGGAAAGAACAAGCTTAGCAGCACCTATATTGTGGTCCTGTAGAACTTCATGCTCTTTGGGACACCATTCAGAGTATCCACCACCTTCTCCTTCGTACACCATCTTCGCTCTCATTCGTACTGAAAGATCCGACCAGACATAGTGAAGTCTAAAACCGCCCCACGAATCCAAACCCTTCCCAATACAACTCTCCTCGATATCCGTATTTTCCTCCTTCACTGGCAGGAATTCTGATAAGGGGATTCAAAAAACACTACACTAAAAGTTTTCTTTATATAAAAGAGATTCAACAAGTCATATAAATATACATAAAAATGAATTACCAATATATGAAGTACAATTTTGCGACGAAGAGGATTCAATTGAGCCCCCTATACCATGCATAGCTCCGGTACTGCAGTCTCCCATTAACTCAAGTTAATACATAATGATAACTGGATCAAGTAAACAACTAATTAATTCCCGTCATGTGTTTACATTAACAAAACAACAACAATAACTAAGCTTCAGCCTCAAACAAGTTAGGATCGATTATATGAATTCTCACTGGCCATGTTACTGGTACTACATATGAACTCACCTCTTAATTTTCTACTAACACATAAATCTTTCAATGGCCAAACAATTTTCGTCATATATTTAAATAAACTAAACTGTAAAACATCAACACATGCAATCGGCTATTCCATATAAAATGGAATGCCAGCCATTCCATTTTATAACTGTAATCGGCTACAACGCCGTAGAATTAAGAAAATACTTCAAGTTGTATAATTTAGTTCAATTCTGTTAAACATTTTTCTGTTCAATCCAATTTCCCGATTCAATATATAAGAGCAAAATACGCAAATAAAAAAAAAAAAAAAAAAAGAAGGAAGGACAAGAAAGATTACATGGCCAATTGTAAGGCGGTATTGTGAGATTGTTTAATGTGCATTGAAGAATTGCAGCATTATAATGGCGACGGTTTTATGCTTCAGGCCCACTTGCAAATCGAGTCCATATGATAAAAATTTAATGTTTATCGTAATTAAAGACATTTTAGTAAAGGAAAACTACCTGTCCATTTATAATTAACTTATTATAAAAACTGATCAATTCATAAAATATTATTAATATGAGCCAACTGTTACCAATATTAGTCAATTAGTTATTTGTAGCCAAAAAAGGTCAATATTTTTGAATGAGTGTTATTAGAATAGATTGGGTACATCTTAAACAGTTTAAATCTCATTTTTCAGATAATTTGACGGAGTTTTAAAGTGATTTGAATTGAAAATTTGAAGTAAAAGATGAAATATGAAGAAAAAAATTATATGTCTATCGCACTATGTATCATTAGTGTATCACATAGGTATCATATTTGTATCAAATGTGTATCACATGTATATCCATGTACACCTGTGTGTGTGATACATGTTTGATATATGTGTCGCAGAAGAATTTTTTGAACTCGATTTTAACTACGAATTTTGATACCAAATCAATCCAAATCACTTCCAATCTTCCTCAAAATTTGCATATTGCTTTATCTATATGTTTTTAATGATTTTCAACCATACCTATTAAAAGGTTCCTTTTTGCTTAGATTTTTAAAATTATCTTGTATATATTTTTTTGTATTTAATCACCTTTTTTGTTATCTCACCCATGAAATTTTCTTTCTATCTTGCATCTAATGTTGCTTATCATGCTTAAAAATATGAAAGGAGTTCTTTGCGTGTGATTCTTGGAAAGAAAGAACCTTATTTATTTGGATTTTCAATTTTTATATGTGTTTGACTAGTTTTAGTAAGTCTATGATTAATAGCTAGAGGTTGGTAAGTTGGAACTTATTTGAGACATTTATGTAAGATTCCCTTTAATAAACTTATTAGTTATTGTACAGTATAATTCAATCAAATCAAACAAGAATATAGGAGAATTCAACATTTAAAATATTAATGAGAGACATAATATTGATATGATTTTAATGACATCCATAGAATTTTTAGACAAATTTGTCCTTTATGTTCAGGTATATGTTCATTTTTATCCTTTAAATACATATCTAAGCACATATTGTCCCTTAAGTTTGTCAAAGTCGAGCAAATTTGGTCTACCTACCGTAAAAACAAACGGAACAAAAAAACTAACGTCTTCCATATAAAACATAACTGGAAATACCAATCATGAACCCTTCTTCCCAACTTGATTTTTTCCCAAATTTGACCTACATCTATATAGCACTCAAATGGAGCTTTCCAGCAAAGTTGCTTACTTTGTTTGAATTTGCTTCTGCAAATTCATTACAGGTTACATGTGGATTTTTACATATCTATTACGTCTAGAAACAGTCGCATAGGGGTATCAGCAGAGTGAAACATAAAAAACGATACATCTTACTTGTAAAATTAGAAGAAAAAAAAGAAATAAATAGTAGTGATGAAAAGCATAAGTTCAGAAAAGCATTTGTACCTCTTCTCAAAGAATTGTCATTCTTATCATTCGTTAGTTTTTTTTTTTTTTCTTTTTGCTTCAGGGAGTAATGTATATTTATCTTTTACAATGATAAAATCGAAGTGACACGAAAAAAAAAATGTATCTGTTTAATGAGCAAACCTAGTTCATGTCTGAGTAGATTAGTCAACAGAATATCGCGAACACTTAAAAAGCTCCTGGGGAATCTCTCACCATTCGTAGCCAGGTCCCGAGAAGAGTCACTAGCGAAAAGGTTTCGCAGTGGATTGTTTTCTTTACCAAGTCACATGAGCGCATGGATGTGGTTCACGATCAATATCTCTCTTGACTCTGTCGATCTTTCTGACGGGATCAACGAAGGGCCCAAGCTGATCATCTTCGACTCTAATTTTCGATTGATATCGGTTATGTACGTCGGCCCAAGTAACAGCCGGATATTCTATCAGATTTTGTTTCAACTATTGTGAAGCCAACAAGTTTCGAACGTTGAGTCCTTGGGTGAAGGCCTGAATGGCCCAATCGCCCGCGACCGAAGGCAGGTCCATCCGTTCCATTTGAAACCGGGACACGAATTCTCTGAGCATCTCATTATCTCTCTGTCTCACTTTGAAAAGGTATGAATTCCTGGTTTCGACCTTGATGGCCCCAGCGTGTGCTTTTACGAAGAAAGCTGCAAGCATAGCAAACGAGTCAATAGAAATAGGAGGTAGGTTGTGATACCATATCATAGCTCCCTTTGATAGAGTTTCCACGAATTTTTTCAGCAGGACAGACTCGATCTTATCATCCTCCAAGTCGTTCCCTTTGATGGCTCACGCGGAGGAGGTTATATGCTCATTTGGTTCGGTTGTTCCATTGTACTTAGGAATCTCGGGCATGCGGAGTTTCTTAGAGATCGGCTTCGGAGTTGCGCTCGGAGTAAAAGGTTTTAGAACAAACTTCTTGGAATCCAGGCCTTTTAATACCGGTGGTGCTCCCGGGATTTGGCCAACCCTGGAATTGTAGGTTTCCACCTTTTTGTCATTGGCTTTGATTTTCTTTTCTCCTGATTCTACCCGTTTTGTCAGCTCCTCGAGCATCTTTATGATCTCGGGGTTGGTCCCCAATTAATTTTCATCCGGTCTCTCCGTGACCAGTTCATTTCAGCGGGTGGCTTCCTGAGACGGCTCAGGCTCAATTCTGCTCGGGGCGCGGCTTTGGTTCTGGAGCGGCGCATTGCTGCTTATTGAGCCTGTAGCATTTCGAAGATCACTCGCAAGTTGATCCCATCATCTTCGCCGACGTGCGTATTTTGGGCAATTGATTGGACTTCCTTGCGGACGATGTTCTCAGGATCGGTAGGCAAATTTGCATTGATGGCCACATGCGAGCTAGCGTCGATCGGGTTCGTGGCTAGAACCCCGTTGAGATCGACATAGGGAACCTCGTTACCGAGTGCTACATTGTTGTTCTTGCCATAATTGTTGGACTGAGCATCCACGTTTAGAGGGGCAGACTAGGAGTTCGACATTTCAAACTTTAACCTGAAATTAAAGACACTCCAAAGAACAAGTATAAAATAGGGTGTGTTGTGGGAATTTGTATCAAATTGCCACTATTATCCTTATCCCCTCGATGGGCGCCAAACTGCTTACCATCAAAATTAGATAACAATTAAACTTATAAGTAGTTTTAAGGATATGCGGATTAATTTGATACAAAATAATAAATTAAATTAGAATGAACAAATAAAGATATAGTAAATTCAAACCATGCGAGGAGAATGATCCTAGCCTTAATGTAACGTTCACCATCGATCCAGATTCACAATGATCAGTATTGATGAACAAGAAAAAGAGCTTTGATAATAGTAAAATAATAATGTATTGCTTTTAAATACGTGTTACAATGTCCGTTATAAATTATCAGACCCCCTTTTATATAGTAGGGAAGTCCTACTCTAGGTACAAATCTGTAAAAGGTAAAAAAAATCTTTGATTTACTGATTGATGGTTCTTCATCGATACATGCTGATATTCCCAACGTGATATCCAACCGGTAGTGAATATTGCGGCCTCATGTTAGTCGTGCTTGGTTGCCCGACAATGTTCTTCGAGGTCGTTCGAGGTTAAGACCGAACTTGGACTATGACCCCGATATTCCCGAGGGTGGGCGTCAGGCCTTCGGATCTTGACTCGATGAGGCCCTTGCCTCGATTTTGGTACCATGTCACCATGTTCAAGCTTGGCTTACCTTACCGGATATGGGGCGTACCATGATCCCGGTTCCACCCGTATAAAGATAGTGTCATCGTTTCTCGGAGAGTAAGTTGAGGAGAAACGACATGAGCTCCCCGATTCCTTCTTCGATATGCCATGTCAGAAACGACAAAAAAACCCGAAATGTCTCGTCAGCCATGTCATAATGGCATTAAATGTGTGTCAGCAACCGGTTGGTTGTCCCTAGATGCGAAACGTCACTGATCCTTTATAAATACCCCCTTTTTCGTTCATTTTTCACTTTACAATAAACCTCATACCCTCGTACCCTCAGGACTTCAATATTTCCTAGCATTTTTACCTGTGTCACTTAAGGTTCTTCAATACTTCGCAAAAATTTCAACGTATCCCCTACTCAAGCCAACAAGTTTGATCCTTCAACTTTCAATCCTTTTTCATATTTTCCAAGCTCTTTCTTCATAACAATGGTAAAAACCATAAAATTTATTCCTCAAAGGATGTTTCTTCTTCTTTGCGGCCGACCACTAAAGTCGAGGAGACCGCCCCCGAGATGGTTGTTGATGAACCAGCGGAAGAGCCCTCCTTGAAGATGTTTATTCCTGGTGGTTGTTCGGCCACCGATGACTTCAAGGTTGAGAAGCCTTCTCATGTACAGGGTCAGCGTGAGGAGGCCTAGAGATACATCTACTCGATTACATAAGAGGACCTCCCCACGGTCCAAAAAGAACTGGGTCGACAAAAATATAGTGGT